CCATTGCAAATCGGCCAGTTCTTCTTAAAATTGGGAACTGGGGTAAAATCTCCTGAATACTGGTTCCTTTCATATTGGTGGCAACAATAAATCATTCCTCCGCTCCCTTGCATTCTTTTCAGCACCTTTCCCTTTTAACCCAGCAATTGGCAACCTTTTCTTCCCATAAAATGAAGGCGAATCCCCCCAGAACAAAACAAAAGAGTTCCTTGGGGTTTTGTTGTTGTTGTTGTTGTTGTTGTTGTTTGGAGGGAAGCCTTCTGCAGATGCAGTAGGTTCATTTATTAAGCAGGCTCATTCAATGCTGTTTTATTTACATGCAAAAAGCTTTGAATACCATACAATCACTCTAGAAAACCTAGGCCCCTTCTACATTGCCATAAAAATCGAGATTATCTGCTTTGAACTGGATTGTATAGCAGCGTAGACTCATGTAATCCAGTTCAAAGCAGATAATCTTGATGGTAGTGTAGAAGGAGCCCTAAAGATGCGTAGAAAGGTGCCTAGGTCTCCTGCGCAATTTTATGGTCAATGTCTACTGGACATTTTTACAGAAATTGACAATAATTTGCACTAGAGGCCTAGGGAGAACACCTTTGCAGTTGAAAGAAACCATCCAGGAGCTTGTTTAGACGAAATTTATTATCTTAGTGATAAGAGGTTTCTGTTGCTGAATTCTAGGAGTACGATACTGGAGAAAGAGAACAAAGGATACTGCTTGAATGAAGTAGTTTTTCATCTGAATCAGGACAGAACAAACTGAGCACAAATTGAAGAGAGATTTAAAAGTTTGTGCCCACCCCCAGCCTCCCCAAAATCAGATCTGTACTGTGCCATGAAGAGGGAAAACCCTTCAGCAGTTCCATTTAGTTCTGTTTTTAAAGATTTTTTTTTCAAGAAATTTCTCCAGGTTTTGGAGAAAGGGTAAATTAGCTGGTGTAATTCTTGTTGGGCTAGGCCACAGACTTTCTGACAATTTCATCATCAGCCTTCAGAGATACATATGCCTTCTGTTTCCTTTGTTGGGCAGATGTCAGGCTCTTGAGCATCAGAAGAGTGCAAATGCTGGAGACCAGGATGAGAAGCAGCAGCTATTATACACTATTAAGAAGCTGGAACTTCAGGTGGAGAGCATGCAGTCGGAGATCAGGTTGGAGCAGGCCAAAACAAGCGACGAGAAGTGAGTGCGGCCCGTTGAACATTGCATACTCTGGCATTTTCTCTTATTTCCTTTTGTGTGTCACTAATGAACAACTAGATAAAGAATTTCCAAAGAAGATTCTGGCCGGAATCCAATGTCTTCTTAATTAGGGAATGCTCTTAATGCAGATTAACTTAGCCACCTGAAATCTCCTTAACGTGATCATTCTTGCTTCAAGAAAGATCTGTATACTGTATTGTCGAAGGCTTTCATGACCGGAATCACTGGGTTGTTGTAGGTTTTTTCGGGCTATATGTCCATGGTCTAGAGGCATTCTCTCCTGACGTTTCGCTGCATCTATGGCAAGCATCCTCAGAGGTAGTGAGGTCTGTTGGAACTAGGAAGAAGGGTTTATATATCTATGGAATGATCAGGGTGAGACAAAGGACTCTTGTCTGCTGGAGCTAGGCGTGAATGTTTCAACTGACCACCTTGATTAGCATATAATGGCCTGACAGTGCCTGGAGCAAACTTTTGTTGAGAGGTGATTAGATGTCCTTGGTGTGTCTTTGTCACCACTCTCACAACCACCATGTCAGACTACACAGAGAAGCATGTGGACAATTTCAATAGAAAAGAGGAAACCATGAAAATGAACAAAATCTGGCTACCAGTATTTTAAAACTCTAAAATTGCAACAGCACAACAACAGAGAGAAAACAAAATTGTCGAAATTGTCCACATGCTTGTGGCTTTCAATGGCTTCTCTGTATAGTCTGACATGGTGGTTGTCTAAAATTACAACAGCAAAACAACAGAGAGGAAACAATCTGGGACATCTAATCACCTCTCAACAAAAGTTTGCTCCAGGCACTGTCAGGCCATTATATGCTAATCAAGGTGGTCAGTTGAAACATTCACACCTAGCTCCAGCAGACAAGAGTCCTTTGTCCCACCCTGGTCATTCCAGACCATTGTGTATATGTGTGTGCTCATCTATATGCATATTTGTGTGTATATATGTATGTATGTGGATATGTATATGTGTGTGCATGTGTATATGTATATATGTATATGTGCATGTACGTGTATGTATATGTGTGTATTTGTGTATATTTGTGTGTGTTTGTGCATATATATGCGTGTGTATGAATGTGTGCATGTGCATATGTATATGAGTGTATGTATATATGTGTGTGCATATGTATGTGTGTATATATGTATATTTGTGTGTGTTTGTGCATATATATACATGTGTGTATGAATGTGTGCATGTGCATATGTATATGAGTGTATGTATATATGTATGTGTGCATGTGTATATGTATATATATGTGTGTGTGTGTATGTGTATATATGTGTATTCAGGGCCGTAGCCAGAAAAAAAATTCGGGGAGGGTTGAAAATTTGGGGGGGAGGGTTGAAAATTTCGGGGAGGGTTGAAAATTTCAGGAGGCAGGGGTTGAAACCTGCCTCCTAGATCACACTGAAGCAAAGAGCACAGCAGGGGACAGAACAACCTTCAATA